TTCTCTTCCATCCACTACGTCTGTAATAAATGCACTAAAAATATTTTCTGGGGAAATAGGGGATTTTTCTTTTTTTTTTTTTTTTCTTTACGCTGCTATAATCTCAGGTTGACTTTGGGATTTAAATGAACTGGTGCATTTCCTGGGCTTCCCCCACAGTATGTCTTAATCTTTATCAGTGGGAGTTAAATTTAATGTTCAGAGCCACCAATTCGTCCACACAGAAAGAAGGACAAAAAGCATATGCACTGCAAAGTGACCTGAGCCTATTTTAGCACTTCCAGAAAAATAGCTCTTTGTCTTTGAAAAATTGTGCTCATATCAAAAACCTCCTGTTTGTTCTTGGGATTGGCAATCACAGGCTGGGCAATCACCAACTGTATGAAACAAAACAAGAGCAAGTGCTGGATTCTGCACTTGGGACAAGGCAGCCCTGGATATATGTACAGGCTAGGGGATGAAGGGATGCAGAGCAGCTCCATAGAAAGAAGTCTGCAGGCTCTAGTTGACGATAATTTTGACATGAACCGCTGGTGTGCCCTGGCAGCCCAAAGGGCCAACCATGCCATGGGGTGCAACAGGCCCAGCACCGCCACTGGGCAAGTGCCACTGCTCTTCTCTGCTCTGTGCAGCCTCATCTCGAACACTATGTGCCATTTTAGGCACCGCAATATAAAAAGGACATGACACTGTCTAAAATAGGGCTATGAAGGTGTGAGTGGTCTAGAAGGCAAGACATACGAGGAGTGGCTGAGGTCCATTGGTTTGCTCAGCACAGAACAGAGGAGCTGAGAGAAGGCCTGACGGCGGCTGCAGCTCCTCACAGGGAGCGGAGGGCAGCGCTGAGCTCTGCTCTGTGTGACAACAACAAGGCCCAAGGGAACGGCATGGAGCTGTGCCAGGGGAGGGCAGCTGGGGGTTAGGAAAAGTTCTTTACCAGACGGTGGTCAGGCACTGGAACGGGCTGCCTGGGGCAGTGATCACAGGGTCACGGTCCCAAGCTGTCAGAGTTCAAGAAGCTTTTGACAGTGCTCACAGGCATAAGGTTAGAATTTTGGTGGTGCTGTGTGGAGCCAGGAGTTGGATTCAGTGATCCCTGTGGATCCCTTCCAGCTCAGGATATTCTATGATTCTGTGACTCTATGATTCTGTCAGACCGACAATACGAAAAACAGTTAGATTAAGACATGACAAATCTGTGAAGAGGAGGAAATTGTGACCTATGAATACATATACTTGCATTAATTGCATGTCTGACTAAAGCGCTATCTTTTTTTTGCTTGTATTATTCAAAAAACATCCAACCAACTGACCAAAAAAAAAACCCAACAAATAAATTGTTCAGAATGAGAAGCACTCAGACCCACAAAGCAGTAATACATGAAGTAGATAAAGCAGATCAGTAGAATTTTCTTTTAATCATAACTAGAGTGGATCTTGGAAGAAATCTCTGTATTTTGAAGATTAGTAAGTAATTTTGATTGCTGTAAGTAAAAAAAAAAAGTTTTGCGCTCTTCGACCAAACAGCAGATGTAATCTTTCATGGAAGCTATCTTTACCCATCCAGAAGAACGCCATGTACTGAGAACCCAGTTAGCTGTGCATGATGTCATGGATTCAGTATTGAATATGCGAAAACCTTAGTATATGAATGTAGGAATTGTGAAATTATCTTCTAGACTAAAGAGGAAGGAAAAAAAAAAAGCCAAAGGTATAGCTGAACCTTGAGGTTAAGACTTACAGAGAGGCATTAAATAGCTGTACTGTTCTTTCCTCAAAAGGAAGGACCACTAGCTTAATGCTAAAAGAACTATGCCGAGATGTATATGATTCTGGCTATAAAGAAAATTCTTAGTTTTAAATTTTCTAAATGCTCCTAAAAACATTAAAGAAAAACATTAAATGTGTTAATATAAACTTATGCATTCTAGCTATTATCTTCTTTAATCCTTAGAGAGTTCTTTATGCTTCATGACTCTGGAAAGAATTAAGAAGCAGCTCATATTAGAGGCCATTGTTACGTTCCCTTCAGCACCATTTTCTTCTTTTCCTACAATTACTGAGATTTATTTTCTTTGCTTGAAATAGGATTTTTGTCTCATTTGGGTCCCTGCTATTTAATTCCTACTTGAAGTCATAATCCTCCCTGCCACACCACACCAATCTCCTTGAAGCTAATTTTGATGTCACAGAAAGGATTTTTGCTTCAGAAGAACTGATTATTTAGGTACGCTTCATGTACCAGAAATTGTCCTTCTCTAGTACACAAAAATAGGAGTACTGCAGCCAAACAGATTCAAAGCACAAAACTCAACAAAAGTTTGAGCTTCCTGGTTAGTATTTCTCAGCAGGAATTTAAGGGGCTTTTTGTTAGAATAAGGAGGCAATAGAGTATGCTTAGCTACACAGTCTTTGGCTTTTCTTTTCATGATTCTATTTCTGTGAGAGGCTTCCCTGACACACACACACTGTATACAAAAATTTGAGGTGAGGTAATCACATTCCAAATAGTCAGTGATGTCGGAAAATACTTTCAACTTGGACTGGTTTCAAAGCTCTGGCTTAAAACCAGCACAGTGTTAGAACACCACTTGATACTCGTTTGTCCAAGTGATTTTTATTTTTTTGTTATTGTTCGTATTTTTTCATTTTTCCTGATAACATGTGTTAAGTATCTGAAGCATCATTAAGATTAAAATAATCAAAGTGATTCTTTAATAAAATCCATTCTCATCTCTGCAGGGGTGAAAACACTTATGTTGCAAGTGAAAAGTCATATTCTGTAAAAAACACATAGAAAGAGCAGCTGAAAGCAGTAACTGTTTCTTGCAAAGCTGGAAAGGTTAAAAATAAGAGCAACCATTGACTACAAATGAATCTACAGCTGAAAAGGAACCCTCTTTTGATTATCTGCAGCAAAGAAAGTCTCAGTGCTGAGCTGACAAGATCGTAACTTGTACTTTATTAATTACCATAGGATTTTCTTTTTGCATCAACAAATCAACACACTGGAACAGGTTGCCCAAGGAGGTTGTGGATGCCCCATCCCTGGAGGCATTCAAGGCCAAGCTGGATGTGGCTCTGGGCAGCTTAGTCTGCTGGTTGGTGATCCTGCACATAGCAGGGGGGTTGAAACTGGATGATCATTGTGGTCCTTCTCAACCAAGGCCATTCTATGATTCTATGATTCAAAAGCACTGATCGTACATCTGGAATAAGAATATTCACATTAGTGAAAGCTCCATACCAACATGTTGATTGACTAATTTCAAATTAATAGATTAGCTTCTAGGATACAATGTACTGAACATTTGACTTAAGAAGAAAATAATCAGTAAAAATGCAGAAAGTACCCTTTACTCTATGCGTCATTCCATATCATGTGATTTGATAAATGTGATTGATCATTACAAGCTTTCCTAAACTAGGAATCACACCCAATACTTTGAAACCCTTTATCCCCATATCTTCGAGGATTTCTGAAGGGGAACAGCTTACTGTTACAGATTACCATCAGATTTGGCAGTGACTGTGTTCACCTTTGTCACAGGAACTTACAGAGAAGCTAACATGTATCGGTGTTAAGCATATTTTATTAAAACATTGAAAAGAGATAACAGCTTTCAGTTTATCTATCTTTGTCATTTGTTTGTTGTGTTTTTTTTTTTCTCAAGATTTTTTTTTTCTCTCCTGTTTATGTGTCTTGTTTCAAATTTCTTTCATATATGACTAAGCTGGGTTATCTGAGTGGGAAGGATGAGCAGAAGAGCTTCAAGCTTAAAGACACCCGTTTACTCCATGCTTCCTTTGCATGCCCTATTACTTCTACGCTATTAAACCAGCGCAAGGAGGAACGCTAGGAATGCTATCTTGATGCGAGCTCAATAAAGACTACACTGTTTTCAGGATTTTATGAAAGACATCACGAGAGTTCCTTTTATTCTCCGTGGCCGTCAGAGCGGCACGCACAGCCCGTTCTACCCGCAGACGTGACGCTGCCGGCGGCTGCTGCCATCCCGGCCCCGCAGCGCGGCCCCGGCGGAGCGCTCACTTCCCGTCATCCACACGCCATCTAGCGACGGGAAAAAGGGGGCGGCTTTGCACGGGAGCGGAAAGGAGAGGAGGAGGAAAGGGCTCCCATCCCCGTCCCAGCTCTCGCCTTTCCCAGAGCGGGTAAGAGCCATTTGGATATTGCGGCCAGAACTCCAGAGCGGCTCGGGGCGGCTCGTGAGGAACACCGCCGCACTCCGCTCCCTGGCATTTCACCCCCCCTTTCTCTCTGCTTTTCAGTGAATCGTTCCCCTCCCCTTGAAAGGAGCTAGCGCTGCCCAGGAATCCCCCGGATACCTCACCTAAGCTATCTCTTAAGCCGCCCTCCTCGAAGCACCGATCCCTGCCTGAGGCACCGCCAACTCTGGCGGCTCTGCGCGGCACTGCCGGCGGAGGGCTAGGACCGCGCGATCGCGGCCCCGCAGAGACACGCGCACACATACGCGAACGCACACACACACACACACACGCACATAGAGCACACGGGCGCTCCTCGCCGCCGGCGCAGCGGCCCCGGCCCCTTTGTTCCGCCCGCGGAGGGATGCCCGCGCCGCGCCCCCCGCGCCCCGCTCCGACACCGCCCGTCCCCGCGCCCCTCGCCCGCGGGCGGCGGCAGCGCGGCGTGGCTGCGGGAACCCCTCAGCCCCGGCCGCGCCAGGGCCTCGCCGCCACCACCCGCAGCCCCGCGGTAGGGGCAGGGGCAGCGGCCGCGCCTCTCGGCAGCCCCGCGCCGCAGGATCCGCGCCCCGGGAACGACGTGCTCCTCCGAGCTGCCAGGCGCGATTACGTTGGTTTTCCCCCCACCCACCCCTTGAACTTGTTGCTTGGCGCTCGGCGGCGGTGGCGGAGGGGGGTGGGGGTGGGGGAAAGGGAAAGCCTTATTATCGATGTCCCTTTGGATGCGATCAAGCTTTCTTAGGAGCAACTACTTCCCCGCCGTTCCCGGCGGGGCGAGGAGATCTAGCGGCAGAGCCCGCATTTCCAAAAGTCTCTATGCAACTGAGCGCTCTCGTCAGACTTTCCCAGGTAGGTGCCGCAGACTGAGCACGGCCGGAGGGATGCGAGAGCAGAACCGAGGGGAAGGGGCGAGAAGCAGGAGGGGGGGGTGCGGGGGGTACGATCCGGCCGCCGAGCCGCGACCTGCCGCACCGGGGCCCCACGCCGCCGCTCTCCTGCCCCGCTCCCGCCCCGGTTTCGCCCTCCGCCGCCCTTTTGGCCGCTGCCGAGGTGCCCCTCGCACCCCGCCCTTTCCTCGCCATCGCCACCGCCGCCCCGCTTCGCATCAGCACCTTCCCTGCCCCTCGCCCCACTACATGCGGAATCCCCCGACCGCTCCCTGCCCCGGGGCGCGCTACCTCGCCCCTTCTGGCGCCCCTCTGTCCTTTGATGCATTTCCTATAGCAAAAAAACTTGCCTTAAAGTTTAATGTTGCCGCCTGGAGCTCCTCCCTCTGCCCCTCCGGCTGCCCCGGCCCTGAGCCCGGGTGAAGAGGAGTCCCCGGGGCGGCGATCAAGGACAGCGAGAGGATTCGTCCCCTGCTGCTCCGCAGCGGCCCGCCCGGCCCAACCCCTCCGCCCCGGCACGGCGAGCGGACCCGCCGCAGCTCTCCCGGCGAAGGCTCCGCTGGTGGCCGCGGCCCCGCGCCGACAGCGGGCGGGGAGCGGCGCGGAGAAGGGGCGGGGGGACAGGCTGCATCGCGCGTGGAGAACATCTACTTCCAGGTGGCTGCACCGCTGCACCAGGGCTGCCAACCGGCTCCCGTGGGTAGCGCTTTGTGGATCACAGCTTCCATCCAGGAGCATCGCGAGGACCTTGTATCCAAACGACTTGGCTGCTAGGCAGTTGTAGAAGCCGTGAAAACGTTGATCTTCCAAGTGCCCCGATTTATTGTCCTAACTGTTTAACCAGCTCCTGGAAAGGATATTCTGGGGCCAAAAAAAAAAAAAAAAAAAAAAAAAAAAAGAGGAAGAGGGAGGAATTAAACAGCCTGGTTAATTATTCTGAAAATCACAGCAATGTTTGAAAATTTGGGAGCCTTGAAAATGTGTGAACTTTTGTATTTTTCTTTTCCTTTTTAGTGGCTTGTCAAGAACTGTCTGTAGATTCACTCTCTCAGCTGTAGTCACTGTTTGGGATCATGGCAGCGGGCGTAGCAGCTTGGTTACCCTTTGCCAGGGCAGCAGCCATAGGATGGATGCCAGTGGCCACAGGTCCCATGCCAGCTGCTCCACGGCAGGAGAGGAAGCGAAGCCAAGACTCTCTGATTGTGCTGAATGTGAGTGGCATCCAGTTCCAGACATGGCTGGACACTTTGGAGCGCTACCCTGACACCCTGCTCGGCAGTTCGGAGCGGGACTTCTTTTACCACCCTGAGACACAGCAGTACTTTTTCGATCGGGACCCTGACATTTTCCGCCACATTCTCAACTTCTACCGTACTGGGAAGCTCCATTACCCTCGCCAGGAGTGCATCTCTGCTTACGATGAGGAACTGGCCTTTTTTGGCATCATCCCGGAGATCATTGGTGACTGCTGTTATGAGGAGTACAAGGATCGCCGTCGTGAGAATGCTGAGCGCCTGCAGGATGATGCTGACCAGGATCACGCAGCTGAGAGCTCCCTGCCCTCGATGACAGCTAGGCAGAGGATGTGGCGGGCCTTTGAAAACCCACACACCAGTACGCTGGCTCTAGTCTTCTACTATGTCACTGGTTTCTTTATTGCTGTCTCTGTTATTGCCAATGTGGTGGAGACAGTGCCCTGTGGGGTGAGCCCGGGTCGCATCAAGGAGCTGCCCTGTGGAGAGCGCTATGCTGTGGCTTTCTTCTGTCTGGATACTGCTTGTGTCATGATCTTCACAGTTGAATATCTCCTACGCCTGCTGGCAGCTCCAAGTCGCTACAAATTTGTGCGCAGTGTCATGAGTATCATTGATGTGGTAGCCATCATGCCATATTACATTGGCCTGGTGATGACAGATAATGAGGATGTCAGTGGGGCTTTTGTGACACTAAGAGTCTTTCGCGTCTTCAGGATCTTTAAGTTTTCCCGCCACTCGCAGGGGCTGCGCATCCTGGGCTACACCCTCAAAAGCTGCGCCTCGGAATTAGGCTTCCTTCTCTTCTCACTTACCATGGCCATCATCATCTTTGCCACAGTCATGTACTATGCAGAGAAAGGTTCATCAGCCAGCAAGTTCACCAGCATCCCCGCAGCCTTCTGGTACACCATTGTCACCATGACAACACTGGGGTAAGTGCAGCTGGCGTTTGTTTACAGCCAACATTCCAACAAGTGGGTTGGCAAGAAGGAAAAATGCAAGATTTAATATATACATACATATATATATATATATATATATATATATATATATATATATATAAATTTGTAGTAAAAATGAGAGGGTAGTTTTTTTTGCTACACAACTCCATGAATACAGTTCAGCACTTCTTTCTAAGAGTTTCACATATGGAGTTGAGTTAAAAACGTTGCAGAATGTTAAAGCAACCCAAACCCCAAAGCTATAGATAAATTAAGAAAACTGATTGGTGTCTTTGCCATTTGCTCTAACATTTTATTTCGGTTTGGCTTTTGAAATGTGAATATTTTATGAAGATCTGTGAGTTATCAGTGGCTTTTTAATAGTGCAATATGTTTGCTGGCAGTACTTGTTACAGTGTTGCCAAAGTATCAATAAGGACAACCCAGGTGCAATATTTTAAGGAGATCATGCATAAAAGGATGCAGGTCTGCCATTTTGTTTGAAGTGATGTGTTGATGTAGACTGGGTATGAAGTTGGATTTTACAAAGTCATTCACTTTTATGAAAATAAAGCAAGTATAGATACCTTAGTTTTCACAAATATGGTTCTTGATGTTACTTAAGAGTCTGGATAGATTTCCTTTGATTTCTGTGTAACTATAACTTGGACTCAGGTAAATGGTGCGTCTTGCTACACTGACCTGTGACAGATTCTGGAAAGTGATCTGAGGAAATGTGAGACATCTATTCGACAGACCAACCTCGTGTCTTGAAACGTAATTCTAATGACAGTTTGCATTCTTGAAGAACATTAGGAATGTAAAGGTGCTGTTGTTGGAGTTAGACAGACCCCAACTGAGATTACTGAAACGATGTGTTGCAGTATTATTTTTTAAACTTTCTTTCTGATACCAGGTCATGTTGTAGCAGCTAATTTGGTGTACCAGGTTGTAAAATGTGTTTGTCTGTATTTCTAACAGGGATTTAGAAGGCTGACTAATTTAAGAATCTTATTTTGAGATGTAAAATATGAACTATGAAACTGAAAATTGTTGATTCTGTATAATTTTTTTTAGTTATTTAATAACTACAGTTGTTAAAAGTCAAACTTTTTACTCTCATATAGGAAAAGCCCTTCATTTTATTAATCAAACACTTCACCATATCTTTTGGGACTGTTGAGATTTATGAAATATGTATAATTTTTTAATTTAACAAAATGAAAGTACACTCAAACTATTATGAAAAAGTTGATTTATTATGTGCAATTTAATTTACTTGGGAAATGGACATATAAAATATTGGAAAAGATAAAGGGACTGTGTAATGCCACCACTTTTTACACTGGGCTTTTATCTTCAGCATGATATAACAAATGAAGATAAATATAGTGCACTGTAAATATTTCATACCACTTGTAAGGGCAAGTTATGCTAAAAAGGAATGACAAGAGCTTTGGGGATTTTAGTCTGCTTTTTAGGTTGCTGGATTTTTTTGGTTTTTGCTTTCTTCTGTTAGTGACAAGCTGACAGGACAAGCTAACACAAGGAACCAGTTCCAAAGTCCTGTGCTTTCTGATGCTCATTCTTTTTGCCACATCATTTTAACTTTTGATGATTTTAACAAGTTAGGTTGTGAGAATTTAGCAATATTCAGGACATAGAATTCTATTATAGAAGAGCAAAAGCTTATCAGTACATATATATATTTTAATGAAGCATGTTTTTTAAGTAAGTTGTACTCACTATTTTGGACACTGTTTTGACTGTACTTGTCCGTGGTACTGAACAGAATTTTGTCCTAAATAATGTGACCAGTTCATAATTGATTATTACGTATGTATGATATTTATTAGGTTTTGATACGATTTCTGCATTTCTTTCATGAAATAATGGAAAACTCCAGGTTTTGAGATGTTATACTGGCTACTGATGAGATTTGTTTGCCAAAACTCTTTGAATAATACCTAAGAAGCTGTTTTCAAGTATGCAGCCACACAATATTTGCATCCTAATGGGAATTAAAAGGGTTAAAAAGAGTACAGACATGCTTGACTCACTTTTGGAGGTCGTTTTCACAGAGAAAGTTCTGAGCAGGTTGCAAAGGGATCCAAGGTTTCACTCTCGGAAGTTCAGGTATGACAGACGTCACAAATTTCTGGGAAATCGTTAATCAGTGCATAAGCTGGATGATGTTCTTTTGCTAATATCATGATAACCATATAAAGATTATGTTTAAATGTTAAATGTGTATGAATAATTTAAATAGAATTAACATAATAAAAGCTTTGAACTCTTTTCAGTTGATGGAATAATTACACGAAAGGAGAGGGAAAATACAAGAAAAAGCAGTAAGGGTCAGTGAAAGCTGATTGTAATTAGTGCTGCTACCTTTGCTTCTGTGCAAGGTGCTCTCACCCACTTACTAATATAAAACTCCCAATCATTTTTAATTTTAGTTTTAGCTGCCATATAGGGCTATGTAAATGGCTCTATATGAACTTTTTTTTTCTTTTAGGAACAAAACGAGATTAAGTCTTTTATTTTTTTTAATGACAATAATACACAATAGGTTTTGTGAAAAACTACAACAATATACATGACTGTTAATACCAAATAATAGGCTAATACGATGTTGAGTTTTTGAGTCTTGGTGTCATCCTCCTATTTTGCCATAGAGCAAGGGTACTGAATAAGTGACCTTTGCAATTTGGGGAGTTATTATCATGGAAGCAGAGCTATATTTCTCAGTTCTGCATGATTGCCAAGTAATTAAACTATCTTTTAAAAACATAGATTACATTTTTCTCTGCAAAGTGCCAGCGTCTTCAAATATCACTACAATTTAACCTCCAAGGACATCCCCACTACTAACTGTTCTTGACTGCTCTAGTCAAGTAGTGCATATTTGTACATAGAGTTGTTACGTGAAAGAAAGAAAAATAGGTAAAGAGGAAAGTAAAAGAGAAAAAGAAAGATGTAGAATAAGTTGATGAGGAGAGGAAGATGGAAAGAAGAGAAAAAAAGAGAGAAAAAAAGGAGGATAGAAAGAAGGAAGATGTAAAAAAAAAGGATTAAGAGATGGAAGGGGCAAAGAGCAAAAGAAGTTATAAAGAGAAGTTATAAAGAAAGGAAGAGAGAAAGAAAAGGGAAAGGAAGGAAGGAAGGAAGGAAGGAAGGAAAGAAAGAAAGGAAAGAAAGGAAGGAAGGAAAGGAAGGAAGAAAGGAAGAAGGAAAGGAAAGGAGAAACTTTTTGCATATTAGGGTCATCTGTATTCTTTTATAAACTGAACTGATTTCAAATTTAAGTTTAGTATTTTATCAGTATTAATTCTATCAAAGTAAAATGCAGAACAAGGACAAGAGAATAAAATTGAAATACATCACAAGGCAGTTTCATGGAGATTTAAGATAACAATGACATCAGAATTTAAGGCCAAAAAGATCAAGAAACGGGATAATATGCAACATGGCAGAGGAAAAACAAGCTTAGATTTATAGAATTGGGTCTGACAGACTTACATAGGGGCTTGTGAACATCTATACCCATAGTGACACAGTTATGTCACTTTCTGCTGTCACCTCATAACATGATAATAACTTTCCTTTTGCCCTGCCAGTAGCCAACAAAGGATTGAAATAGCTGGTAAGGTTTAGATGGTGTCCGGGTGATGTTTATTCCCAAATCAGACAGAGCTGTAGTGCACTTTAATACTTCATAAAGATATTATACTTTAAATAGGGAACACGGTGCTCCTTTGCAACTAGTTCCAAAGCAATCTCACTGCTATATTAAACTTTTATATTTATAGAATTTACATCGGGTAGCTTTGTCAGGTCATATAATACATTTGTGGTTGAGCATAATATTTTATTAAGAGAGGCTTAAACACAAGACTATTCATTTATTTGCTTTCATTATGTAAACTAGAGGTATGTCTTCCAGAAACAATAAAGCACTCATTCATTTTCATTATTTGTTAATATAGCCCGTAGTGTATGAGAGATCCCATCTAAGATGTATCAAATTACTTGTACCTAATACTTTATAATCAGGTGACTGGATGTGACAATAGAAAGCTTCAAATAGTGAACAGGGTAACAGGATGATGGACTTTGTTTTTCTGTAAGTTTCATTCTCTTGTCGTCACTCCTTTTCCATTCTTACCACATCCCTGGGGTATATTCCATCCGTTAGTTTTCTTTGCAGTTCTTTCAAAATACTACTTCCTACAGTCTTCCTGCTTCAGAATTTGCCAGCTGGCTTGGCTCCCTTTCTCCCTAGTTTCAGACAAGTTTAACATTTATGTTAAGACTCCTCTGTTTTTTTTGATTCTGCTTCTTTGTTCCAGAGTCCTCATTCATCCTACACCTTTAGATCGAATCTTCCATTCATCATCACTGTCATTCATTCAACCTGAACTTTCCTCATAAGAGGGTTTTTTTTCCCTGACCTTTGCCTGATAGATTTTTTTTCTTATGAGCATCATACAATTTCCACAGCACCTCTTTTTTTTCCCGAATGGCACAAACATTATCTGGTTTTCCTTTTCTGCAAGTGCCTTTAGTTTTCAATGGTCTCTGTATGTTGGTTTGAAAACACCTGTCTCATCAGAACTCGTATTAAAAATATGTATGAGTTAAATAAAATCTAAAAAGAGGGCACAACATTAGAAATCCTTGTTTTGTGAATAGTTTAATTAAGAGTTTAGAGATAGGGTAAAGAGGTAAAAAAAACAAAGGTAAAGATTGGCAAGAATGGAATATTATTTCTGTATCTCTTACATATTGAGTAATTCTTTTTTGTGTGTGTGTTTCATATTTTCAACCTGATTTCAAACAGCATTTTTATATTTTTACATTCTTGTATGCAACCTAGTGAAGTTTGGATTTTGCAGATGTGTTTGACATCTCAATCTATTTTGTCTTCACAGCAGTGAAATTGCCTGAATCGTTAGAATACTATGTAACTGAGGAGGAACAAAATGTAG